CACTGGTTCAAATCCTGGTGGCTCCACTTCTGATCCAATTTCCTGATAATGCACCTGGGAAAGCAGTGGAAGATGGCTCAAGTGCCTGGGTCCCTGCCCTCCATGTAGGAGACCTGGGTGGAGTTCCAGGCTCTTGGCTTCAGCCTGGCCCATCCCCAGTCAATGTGACCATTTATGGAGTGAACTAGCAGATGGAAGATCAATCTTTCTTTCTCTGTCCCTCCCTTTCTTTGTAACTCTTCCTTTTAAATAAATGAATAAATCTTTAAACAAAAGAAAGAAAGAAAGAAAGAAAGAAAGAAAGAAAGAAAGAAAGAAAAGAAAAGAAAAGAAAAGAAAAGAAAGAAAGAAAGAAAGAAAGAAAGAAAGAAAGAAAGAAAGAAAAAGAGATCTTCCACCCACTGGTTCACTCTCTCAAATGGCTGGGCTGGGTAAAGCCAGGAGCCAAGAACTCCATGCAGGTCTCCCATAGGAGTGTCAGGGACCCAACTACTTGAGCCATCATCTGCTGCTTCCCCGGGCAGATTAGCAGAGAGCTGTGTTAGAAGCAGAGTAGCCAGGACTCCAACCAGAAATCTAGTATGGGATGTGGGCATCCCAGGTAGCACCTTAACCAGCTCTGTCAAACACCTCTCGCTGTCTTTTTAAAATCTGAGCGATGGAAACAGGAAATGCTCTCAATGGAGCTGGTGCTGTGGCACAGCCTTGCAGTGCCGGCATCCAATATGGGTGCCAGTTTGAGTCCCAGCTGCTCCACTTCCAATCCAGCTCCCTGCTAATGCACCTGGGAAACCAGTGGAAGATGGCCCAAGTCCTTGGACCCCTGCACCCATGTGGGAGACCCGGAAGAAGCTCCTGGCTTCAGATCGGCACAGCTCCGGCCGTTGCGGCCATTTGGTGAGTGAACCAGCAGATGGAAGACCTCTTTCTCTGACTGCCTCTCTGTCTCTGTCTCTGTCTCTGTCTCTCTCTCTCTCTCTCTCTCTGTAACTCTGACTTTCAAACAAATTAATCTTTTAAAAGAAAGAAAGAAAAAGCTCTCATCTACTGGTTCACCTGGGCAGGACTGGGCCAGACTGAAGCTGGGAGCTGGGATTGCCCTCTGGGTCTCCCGCATGGGTGGCAGGAGCCCAGTCGCCTGCGCCATCTATCGCTGCTACTTCCCAGAGTCTGCGTCAGCAGGAAGATGCCTCTGGGTATCCAACCAAGGCATTCCAGTGTGGGACACGTGTGTCTTCATGGCATCTCAACTGGGCAGCCAAAGGCGCATCCCATGATGGACAGGCAGGTGGAGAGAGGGACAGGTTGGTGAATGCATGGACACAGGCAAGGCTGTTTAATCCCCCTGGGGTGGGAATCCAGGATGTGCCAAGGCCCGGACAGCAGCCAGGCTGCAGCTCAGCTCACTGCCACCTGCAGCATCAGTAGCTCGGCTCCCGGATGCCCAGCTCCACTTTGGGATCCCTGGCAGTCCTGAGTCCCTTTGGTGTGTCCTGACTGGACGAGAGAGAACAGAGCAATCACTGGGTACCACTGTCTCCACCTCTGGAGCACCTTGTGTACCTGCACGTCGTCCGGCTCAGCTCGCTCTCCGCCCCCCCCACCTCTTCCCTCGCACCTCTGAAGCGGGCCCTGTCCTCCTGTTCCCCTCGGGGGCTGATCTGCCTGGAACCAGCCACATCATCCTGTGTTTGCTTTCTCTCTCAAGCCCGCAAGGCTGCCCCAAGCTAGGGGGTGTTTGTGGCCTCTGTGTGTCTCGTGTCTCAGGGCAGGCTGGCCGGCAGACACAGCCAGATTTAGAAGTCATTTTCACAGCAGGGAGCCTCCAGCCTCCCGCCTCCCACCCACAGAGGCCCCCACAGGGCCAGTCCGGAGATGTGGCTCACCAGGAGGGACCTGCAAGTGGGGCTCCTCCCCAGAGCCTTGGCAGCCGGTGCTGGCTGTATCCTTGCACACCGAGGCAGGGCTGGAGGCAGTGCTGGAGCTAAGGCATGTGTCACTGATGCACTGGCCCCTAAGTCCTCGAAAACGCGGTGCACCCACTCTGAGGCCAGAGTGCCCTCCTTTGACTTCCTCTTCCCTATCCCCCGTCCTCACTGCCTCAACACTAACAGAAAAGCTTCGGAGAGGGACAATCTCCACTTACATGACTAGAAAGCATTGAACTCTCCCAGCAGCTCTATGAGAAAAGCTCCTTTGAGATTACCTGTAGGGGCCGGCACTGTGGTACAGCAGGTTAAAGCCCCAGCCTGCAGCGCCAGCATCCCATATGGGCACCGGTTCAAGTCCCAACTGCTCCACTTCCTATCCAGCTCTCTGCTACGGCCTGGGAAAGCAGTAGAAAATGGTGCAAGTCCTTGGGCTCGTGCACCTGCGTGGGAGACCCAGAAGAAGCTCCTGGCTCCTGGCTTCGGATTGGCACAGCTCTGGCCATTGCGGCCATCTGGGGAGTGAACCAGCAGATGGAAGACCTCTCTCTCTGTCTCTACCTCTCTGTAACTCTGTCTCTCAAATAAATAAAAAAAATTACTTGTAAATATTTATTTTCATCAGAGAGAGAGAGAGAGAGAGAGAGAGAGAGAGAGAGAGAGAAACACCTTCCATCCTCTGGTTCATTCCCCAAATGCCTGCAACAAATGGGGCTGGGCCAGTTGATGCCAGGAGCCCAGAACCTCATCCACTCTCCCATGTGCATGGCAGGGGATTGGTCACGTGAGCCACCATGCACTGCCTCCAAAAATCCATTAGCAGGAAGCCAGATCCAAAGCAGAGTAGGCAGGACTTAAACCAGCACTCAGATATGGAAGCCTAACGTGCTGTGTCACCTACCTTGGCCCCAAAAAGCACTTTTAACAATCCCATTTTATAACCGAGGGCACTGAGGGACAGAGAGGTTAAGGAACTTGCCCAAGGTCACACAGCTAGTAAGAGGCAGAGACAAATTTGTACACAGGCCCAGAGTCCCTGTCCCAACACAACACTACCCCAATCCTCTGAGGATGGCAGCAGCAAGGCGAGCTCTCAGAAGCTGGCCTGGGCATAGTGGGTAAAGTGACTGCCTGCAGTGCTGGCATCCCATACAGGCACCAGTTTGAGTCCTGGCTGCTCCACTTCCGATCCAGCTCTCTGCTATGGCCTAGGAAAGCAGTAGCGAATGGCCTTGGGCTCCTGCATCCACGTGGGAGACCTGGAAGAAGCTCCTGGCTCCTGGCTTTGGACCAGCCCAGCTCAGGCCATTGTGGCCATTTGGGGAGTAAACCCACAGATGGAAGACCTCTCTCTCTCTCTGCTTCTGCCTCTCTGTAACTCTGCCTTTCAAATAAATTAATTTTAAAAAGAAAAAAACTGACCTGTGTCCTTATCTTTGAATAGCTTGGGCAGCACGAACCCCCACCCCCAGGGCCAATGCAACTCACTTCTACCAACCCCAGAGTCCTGGTTGTAGCAAAATCCAGCAATGTCTCATCACTACCCTGGTCCTCAGTTTTCCTCCCAGTCTAAAGTGCATTCTCTTGCCAAACCCAGAGGCCAAAAGCCTTCTCTGGCCCACGTCTTATCACCCCTAACTTTCCAAGTGGACTCAAAACTGCTGTTAGATGAGACTAGAAATTTTAAAAATTGATTGATTGATTGGAGAGGCAGGGGGTGGGGGAGAGAGAAATTCCCATCTGCTGCTCCCCAAGTGCCTGCAATGGCTGGAGCTGGGCAGGAGTAGAAGTTGCGTGCTCACTTCAGGTCTCCCACAGGAACCCAGTCACTTGAGTCATTACTGTTGCCTTCCAAGTGTCTGCATTGGCAGGAAGTTGAAGTCAGCAGTGGCAGCCAGATATGGAACCCAGGCACTCCATATTGGGAATATGGGATGCAGGAATCTTTTTTTTTTTTTAAGATTTATTTATTTATTTGCAAGGCAGAGTTACAGAGGCAGAGAGAGAGAGAGAGAGAGAGAGGTCTTCCATTCACTGGTTCACTCCCCAAATAGCCACAATGGTCAGAGCTGCGCCCATCTGAAGCCAAGAGCCTGGAGCTTCTTTCAGGTCTCCCATGTAGGTGCAGGGGCCCAAGAACTTGTCTTCCACTACTTTCTCAGGCCATAGCAGAGAGCTGGATCAGAAGTGGAGCAGTCGGGACTCAAACCGGTGCCCATATGGGATGCCGGCACTGCAGGCAGTGGCTTTACCCGCTGTGCCACAGCACCACCCCCAACCCAGGGAGTCTTGATAGACCAAACAGACCAAATATGTCTGTTTAATTTTCTGACACATTTCCCTGTACCGATGCCTCTGCTTTTGACCATTTCCTGTCCTTGAAATGACCTTTCACTAAATTCCACCTCAGCGGCTACCTCCTGGGAGACCCAGGGGCTTCCCCATCTCCTCCTGGAATCCATGCACTCCCCCGTCTGACCCTGCACGCACACTTAGCCCTGGCGGCTCGGGTCCATTGCCTGTGTGTTTCTAGTAGCTGCTCAGTAAAGCTTGGTGGTCAGAACTGGCCGTGAGGCGGAGGGTTTGGGGGTGGCCTCTGATCCTACATACGCGGCTCCCACTTCCTCTGCTCCCTCCGCGGGAGCCCCCTGGAAATCTGCAGCGGTGGGTTCGAAGCGGGTCAAGGACGAGCTGTCCTGGGCAGCTCTGAGCCCCGCCACTCTCCCCCCTAGGGCGCAGCAAGGTCTGCTTTGGGGCGGGTGGGCAGCCGTGTGGAGCTAATTGGAGACTACAACCAGAAGTGGTTGGCGAGCTGGGGCCGGGGACCTGCACAGCGAGCCGGAGTCGGACCCGGCCCGCCGAGTCTGCCGAGCCGGTGGCTAAATTTACCCCGGCTGACTCAGCCCTTGCCAGGAATTGGGGGGCGGCGGGAAGAGCCGTCAGGGGGCGGAGCGGGGAGGGTCGCGGCTGGGGGACACCGTGGCGATCCTGGAGTTTCCACCAAAGAACGAGTTCCCCCCTCTCCTAGCGGCGGTGGGAAAGCAGCAGGGAACAGACCAAGCCGAGGCCAAGGAAAGGGAAGCTTAGCTTTATTGAGCGCCTACTGTGTGCCGGGCACCGAGCAAGGCGCTTTACATACATTATCGTATTAAATCCTCACAACAACCCTGCGAGGTAGGTGATTATTAAATCCCCATTGACAGATGAGGAGAAGGAGGCTCCGGGGGACGAAATGCCCTGGCCAAGGTCACAAGGCCAGTAAATGGCAGAGGTGGGGGTGGGTGTCGGGGTTTCCAGGACTGGAGAGAAAAAAAATCCTCAGCGTCTGAGTCTCCAGCCGGTTGGAGTGATGAGTACAAACAGGAGCCGGAGGCCTGCTCCCGGCCCCGCAGTCTGGAGGTGGCCAGGCAGGGGACAGTAACTAGGGACCCGATTAACTGGCAGTGCTGGGCTGGGGGTGTCCGGGATCCGCAACCGGGAAAATTCGCGGCCCGCGCGCGCCTCCTCGTGGCTGCAGCGAGTAGCACACCCCACATCTGCAGGTTGCCTGGAAACTGAGCTGCTCTACTTTGCCCCTGCTTTCAGCAAAGGGCAGAGAGGCAAGTAAATTCTCGGGGTTCCTTCCGTGGGGGGTGGGGGGCGAGTGGATGCCCTAGGACATTGTGGTAACACTTCGGATCTACCAAGGAAAATTGGGGTGGAGGGAACAGGTGGCCCAAAGCTGGTTCACTGGCTGCTGTCCCTGCCTCTGGGAGCAGTGACAGGGAGTGACAGGGCCAGTGTCCTACCTTGCCTCGGGGAGCCCCCATCTCAACCTGGGAGAGTGGAGTAGGAGCCCTTTTGCCACTTACTCAGCTCTCCTGCAAACCCTGTAGAATCTCTTGTATCGGGACAAAGCAGCCACTGGGGACCCCTCAGACTGTGACTTATCCTTTCCTCTTTCCTGGCTTGTTGATGGGAAGAGGAGATAGAGGCTTTCGTTTGGTCCCCAAAGGTCAGCGATGGGAGGACAGACCTTGGAAATTTCTCATTGTGCATCCCCCCTACCCTGGGAGACCTGGGAAGTTGGCAGAGTTGGATTGAACAGACAAACCCAAGACGTGCGACACCAACGCAAGCCCTTTTCTGCTTTGCTGGTTGAATCCATTCACTTCCTGCAAGAGCCCTTCTGTGCCCCAGGCCCCTCTGCCACCCTTTCCATCCCTTTCTTCCTGCTGCCCAGAGGTCTGCTCTGCTCAACTGCGCCCCCAGTGCGTGTGCGCCGCCCCGCACACAGCAGGCATGGAACCTCACCCCCACTTCTCCAGAAGCAAACTTGGGAACGGGCATATGCTCCTTCCCTTGCATGTCTATTTCAGGGATGGCAACCGGCATTGTTGGAGGCACACAGGGAAAAAAAAAAAAAAAGGCAAAAGGCGGCCGCGGGGAAAGAAGGGGAGGATGGGTCGGCAGACTCAAGTCCACAAAGGGACCTTCTCTGCTACTCCCTATCTGCCTGTGGGGTCTCGGCGGGGTCCCTCGCCCCGAAGAGGGCCTCCTCGGTTTGGCTGACGGCACCCAGAAGCTCCCGGAAGCTGTCGCTCATCTCGGTTCTCTTCCCACCTTCCTGGGGTCCAGGGTTCCCAGCCGCAGGCTGGGTCATCTCGTTCCGCCAGGAGGCGCGCGGGGCTTCCGTGTCGCTTCCATCAGAGGAGCCGCTGTGGGCGCTGAGCTCCTCAGCTTCATCCGAGTCCGAGTCCGGGGCGGTGTGGCGGCGGATGCGGGACACGGCTTCCCGCAGGGCCCCCGCGTAGGGCCCCGGGGCCCGCGCCCAGCCCCCGCCCGCTCGCCGCGGCCCCGCCGCCCCGCCCGAGCCCCGCGCGCAGCCCGCCCCTGCCGGAGCCGCGGGGCCCAAGGCGGGATGCTCGGGGCGGCCTGACTGCGCGGGGGCGCCCCGCAGGTTCACTTCGCCGACCGGGAGCCCTAAGATTCGGGAGGCGCGCTCCTCCAGGGAGGAGGAGTCGCCCGGCTTCCCGCCCTCGGCCTCACCCTCACCCTCACTCCCCTCGCCCGGCCGGTGTGAAAGGCTCACCAGCTGAGGCCTCGGGACACGGAAGGGCGAGCCCGAAGCACCCTCGCCTTGCTGCGGACCGGGCTTGGGAGGGCTGGGAGCATCCCCCACAACACGCACCATCTCAGAGGGCAGAAGCTGCACCTGCTGCGCTCGAGGGGTCGGAACGTACTGGGACCTTATCACCACGCACGTGGCGTCGATGACAAACACGCCTTCTCCACCAGCGGGGCGCCGGGAACAGCGGGGCAGAGTGTGGGCTCGGCGGGCCGCGGGGCCTGGCCCGTCCCCGTGACCCGGGGACTCCCTCCAGCCGGTGCCTCCGGGAGCCCAGGGTCGGGGGAGGGTCTGGCTCTGCCGGGACGGCTGCTTTTTAGGGGAGAGCATCCAACACCGGGGGAGCCACACCTGTTCTCTTCTTCCTTCTTTCCCTTCCCTCGAGCCCTCGAGCTGGTGCCTGGACCTGGGAGCGGGACGCGGGGGGCTGGAGGGCGCAGCTGCAGGCCTCGCAGGAGCTGTCCCGCTGCCCGGGCTCCCAGCCACGGCGGTGGCTTGGAAGCGGCGGTCGCTCCCGCCGTGCAGGCCGGCGGCAGGCAGGACGGGCCCTCTCTCTGCGGCGCCTTTGCCAGACGCCGGCCTTGCTCGGACAGCTCCGCAGCCTGGAGATCCCCCGAGCAGACCCCGGCCCTGCCGGAGACCCCAGGCCCCGAGGACGTCCCGGTAAATCCGAGGATCCAGCCTCTTCCTGGCGCTCCCTCCCTCTGTCCTGGCCGGGGTCGGAGCTGGGGCAGACGCGGCCGACGCCTGAGAGCGCTCCGGGCTTCGCTTCGTCCCTAAGGTCCTATGGGGACCCTCATAGGAAGGTGGAGCCACGTAGGGCGGCGGCCGGTCCCAGCGGCGTCGTGGGGCCGTCGCGGCGGCGCCTCTCAGTAGCAGGTGAGCCTCGTAGCTAGGGGGTCCTGGCCGCCGACCCCCCCAGGGCCCCGCCCACGCCGCCCCTGTTTCGCTGTGCGGTGGAGCAGACGGGCGGGCCGCTCTGCCCGCCGGCCCCAGGCGCTCCCGCCTTGAGGGACCCGAGAGGCCCGCAGGCTGGACGGCCCGAGGGGCGTTCCGGGGCTCGGGGCGGGGTTGGCCCGGGGGGCTCCGTCGGGCCCCGCCAGCCTTGCGCCTCTTTCGCTCGGTCTCCTTGGCCTCCCGCTCTTGCGACGCCGCTTTCCTTTTCTCTTGCTCCCGCGCTCGGACCTCGGCCGGGGGCCCCGCCCGCCAGTTGGTGGCTTCCTGCAGCACCCTGGAAGCCCAGGGCCGGCGGGGCGACGGCTCGGGGGATCCGGGGCGCGGCCTACACCTGGGACAATGAGCGGGAAGCCAGGTGAGCAGTTTGTGCGGGAAGCGAGCCGAGGTTCGGGGAGACCCCTTGGGAAGGGTCTGTGCGAGTGTGCGTGCGTGTGTACGTGCGTGGAGGTCGGGGCTGACGTCCAGAAGGGACTCCTCGCCATCTCGCCATGCACATTTTAACAGCGGCTGCCCCATCTCACCTCCTTGCCCTTTCTCACGCCTCTGGCCCCCGCAGCAAACGAGGCGAGAGGAGTCGGTGCCCCAGCCCTCGGAGTGGAGTTTAGGGAGGGAGGCGCACAGCGCTCGCTGGTGCCTTCGGGTGGTCCGGATCCCGCTCCCCGCCCCACCAACTCGCGTCCCTTCACCCCGCCTTCACTCACGTGCGACTGCGGGGCCCGCGGGCCCAGTGGCTGGCCTGGAGGTCCATGGGCTGTCGAGAGGGGACTTGGCGACTATAATGACAGGAAATGGTCTTCACTTCCATCACAAACAGCTTGGACCTCTGCAGCCAGAGGCAGCTGCCAGAATCTGCACGCCGGAGCTCCCGGGGACTATCGCGCCCCTCGCAGAAGAGCGGACCCTCCAGCATCCTGCCC